TTATATATATATAAAATATAAAATATATATATATATATATAAATTATATTATATTATATATATATATATATATATATATATATATATATTTATATATATATATTTATATATATATATATATATATATATATATATATATATATATATATATATATAATATATATATATATATATATAATATATATATATATATATATATATATATATAAATTATATTATAAATATATAATTTATATATATATATATATATATATTTATTAATATATATATATTATATATATATATATATATATATATATTATATATAATATTATATATTAATAGTAGTAGTGAGAGATAGTATAAAGCTATGGTACTGGCATTCCGTGGATGCTAAAAATCCCGAACTTCTTGTCCTGGAGGGTGAGGAAAGGTGCTAGTGCTCTCGGCCCAGCCTTTCCTTATGGCATAGAGAACTTTCCACCAACCCGTCTTTTGGTTGGTGGGGTTTAGTGAAGGAGGAAATGTAGATAGGACCATAGGAGAAGTGTACATTTTTTCTAAATATAATAGTTAGTCCATAAATTAATCAAAGAAAACTAATTTATCAAAGAAAATTATAATTTTTAAGCGGATATTAATTTAAAAAATAAGGAAAAAGGTACACGTAGAGACTTGACATCACATTTCTAATGTAAACATATTTTAATAGATAATTGAATATTAATATAATAATTTATTACCATTTAAGTCTCGAATGCATTGTTAAAAGTATAACAGGTAATATATTATGGAATCCATTGAAATAACAAGAAAAGATTAACATTAGTTATTATGTTATGTGTACTTACGTGAGGGCATTAAGGTTAGGTTAGGTTAGATTAGGTCACGATAGGTTAGGTTAGATCAGGTTAGATTAGGTTAAGTTAGGTTAGATTAGGCTACTTTAGGTTAGGTTAGGTCAGGTTAGGTCTGGTTAGGTTAGGTCAGATCAGGTCAGGTTTGGTTAGATTATGTTAGGTTAGATTAGGTTAAGGTTAGGTTAGGTTCAGGTTAGATTTGGTTAGGTTAGGTTAGAGTAGGTTAGGTTAGATTGGGTTAGGTTAAATTAGGTTAGGTTAGATTAGGTTAGGTTAGATTAGGTTAGGTTTGGTTAGAGTAGGTTAGGTTAGGTTAGGTTAGAGTAGGTTAGGTTAAATTGGGTTAGGTTAGGTTAGATTAGGTTAGGTTAGATTAGAGTAGGTTAGGTTAGATTAGAGTAGGTTAGGTTAGATTAGGTTAGGTTGGGCGCCACTATTACTTGCGATGTTTTTAACGTGTCATTTTTACCTAAGACGCTGAGCGTGAAGCAGCCAGTGTGCTTCACACACAGCGGACGGAGAATAGTCTCCACCATTACCCCTGAATGATCCACAGGGGGTTTAGCGCTTCATTCAAGTATGGTAAGTAAGTAAGTAAGTAAGTAAATTTATTCAGGTATACACAATACAGTTACATAGAATTATCATACATAGCAGCATATGTGTAGAGAACCTAGGATAACCCAAAAAAGTCAGACAGAGTGACTTATTTCCATTGGGGTCCTTTTACCTTATTATTTATAATATAAAGGTTATAATTTTGTTATTATCTATAATGAAGATAACATCTTTTATCATACTAAAAAGTATCTACTACACGAGGGTCATTAAGACTATCTACAATACAGGGTCATTAAGATATTATACCCGAGGTATTACGACTTTTACAATACGAGGTCATTACTAGGGATTAAGGTAAAATTTACACGTATTTTAACTAAAAAAATAGAATAATTTATTCCCTCCCTTTCTGTTGCTTCATTCAACAGACATTTTTGCAGTCTTCTTGAGCTGGTTCAAGCTATGATGGCCTTGACATTGTGGTAGGCGTTCCATTCCTTTATTGCTTGTACAATAAAGGTGTTTGAAGCCTGGCACTGACTGTGGGTACTACAAAGTTGTGCTCTCTCCCCTAGTTACTATGATTGCTTTGGTTCCAACCTGACAAAATTAGACAGCAAGATATCTGGACATTGTTGTGGAGCATTTTTATAACATGGATTTAGCTTCAGTTGTTTTACTCTGTCTTCAAAATTCAGATATCCAACTGCTGTAATTCATCCTGGCCTACATTGTCTCTTGGTTCCGCCCCAGGATGAAAACTTACGTTTTGTTCTGGGTGATTTGCAGTCTATCTTTCAGTTTTTTTGTCAAGGCAGAGTACCAAGAAGAGCAAGCGTAATCCATATGGCATTGTATAAGGGCTAGACATAGGGTCCTGCGAGCCTCAGTAGGTAGACACTGTGCTTGTCTATACAGGAACTTCAGCCTGGCATTCGCTTTCTTTACTACACTGTTCCCTATCAATTCTCCTGACATGCATGGGTCAAAGGGGATTCCCAGATATTTAACTGATGAAACCAAAGTGATGGACTCCCCATTACACTGAACATTAAAATTATTTACCCGTAACGGTATTCATATCGGATCTTGTTGTTGTATATAAATAAATTGCTTTCTCCATAGCATACTTAGGGCCCGTGAGAGGGGTTTCTTGCAGTTCGTAATGAATACAGAGTTCCACGAGTCTGGGCCTGGGGCTGAGTGAATGGGCATATTGTCAATGGCTTTATGAAAGTCTAGTTGAGTTAGGGTTATGTCAGAGATCTGGCATACACTGACAGTGTTTTGAGGTTCATTCATGAAAAAATTTTTGGATTGTCTATCTTTAGACTGATTAACGGCTCCCTATACAGTCATATTGAGTTTCAGTATCTCATTCGTTTCTTTGTTATTATCTGTGTAGGATCTGTCTTGTCTGAGCAGGGGCCCTATACTAGATGTGGTTTTTGCCTGTTTTTCGTATATGAAAATAAATATTTCGAATTTCTTTCAGTTTCACTAATTGTTTTTAGCTCCTCTTGTATGAGTCTTTTAACATAGGCTCAATATTTTCCACTTCACTGGTTAGCGCTTCCTTCCGTGTTTCAAATAACCTAGCATTCTTGAGGAGCTCAGTGATTCTTCGTCTTCTCCTGTAGAGGGAGCATCTCTCTCTCTCTCTCTCTCCAGTTTACTTCTCTTCTTTTTTTTTTTTAGGGAAATATGGGTTGAACATACTTCAGCTACCAAAAAGTTGATCTTTTCAAGGAACTGATTAGGGTCCATGTTATTTAAGACATCTTTCCAATTTATTTCATTTAGAACATAGTTTACCTGGTCCCAGTTAATGTTCTTGTTGTTGAAGCTGAATTTGATGAAGGTACCCTCATAGCTGTATGCATTTTGCTGATCAGGATCCCTGTGCATGTAAGTTTGGACTTCGATTAGATTGTGATCAGAATTAGTTTTTCTATATTGTTATGTTTCTCACCAGGTCCCCAGTATTTGTGAAAATAAGGTCAAGTGTGTTCTCCAGTCTTGTTGGCTCAGCTATCTGCTGACTTAGGGTGTGTTTATTGCAGAATTTAGCAGCTCATGTGTGTGTGACTTTTCACCTGAGCTGCCTCCAGGGATTATTTCTGCTACAGCATTATTGCTGCTTTTTTTCCATTTTGTGTGTTTTAGACTGAAGTCACCAAGCAACAAGACAGGAGTCAATTTTCGATAGCTGTTCCTTGAACTGCTGGGGAATTACATCTGGTGGCTTATATACAAGCCAATGACTAAGTTTTGGTTCTCGATTTTTATTGTTAGAACTTCAACTACATAATTTGTGGTGTTCAGTATCTCTGTGCAGATGAGCGACTCTGATATACAGGCCAACCTTCCCTTGTTGCCCGTTCTTTCCGTCGCATCTGAAAAGGTTGTACCCAGGTATCCATATTTCATTGTCAAAGTAATCTTTTGTGTGGGTCTCTGTGAAGGCTGCAAAAAATGCATCCGACTCCCCTAGAAGTCCACTAATGAAAGGTATTTTGTTGTTGGTGGATGGCTTAAGGCCCTGTATATTAGCAAATTTAAATGAGGTCGTGTTGTTGGGGGGATTTTGTTGTTGGCATCAGTAGTTGTGAGTCTGGAGGGGCCACTGGCTGTGCCTCCAGTCCAACAAGGCTCCAAGGTGGTGGACTATTTTGATTATTTCTTTCCTTTTTTTTCCTTCGTTTTCTACCACTAAAATCACTTGGAGTGGAGTTGTCATAAATATTGTAACTCCTATGATTTGTTTTACGGGTTGTGTACCTCCTGGTCCCCTTTAAGTGGTATGCGGGGCAGTTGGTGTTGTAACATTGTTCTTTTGAGGACTGAAGAATGACACATCTCAGGGTGGAAGAATTTTCAAGAGGTAGAACGACACACTCCTTTAGACAGGAGGTCGCAGCAGCTTTTGGGATGCTCAAAGTTGTATGCCCCATTTGTTTTCCCTGATATTCTATGCATACAGAAACCCCAAGCATAGAATTTGCACCATTTTGCTTTTGGTTGGATACAATTCGTACTGGATATATTCCCAATTTGTGGAGATCCTAGAACTGCACTACAGTCTTGGATAGCCAAGCCAGAGACACCACCATCTGTTTTCAGGAGGCCAACATCTTCCCCGGAAGAGGACTCTTCTACATCTGTACTAGGGGCTATGGCTGTGGTGGCTGTGGAAGAGTCTTTAGCCGAATCCGAATTTGTACTATGGCTGGGGGCTGAGTCTGGGTCAGCCCTAGGGATGGGGGCTGAACTAGCTGAATTTTTTGCTTCCTGTGTTTTTTTTTTTCCAATGGTTGTCTATTTTGGGTCAACTGTTGTACACTGTTCATTCTGAATGTTAAACTGTACGTATCTCCCATGTTCTATATATTCTGGGTAGACTATCCAATAATTCCTCTTTGTTTTCATGCTTTTTATTTATAAACCTTATTATTTATTAACTCCTATGAGTTTTTACTCTATACAGACAATTGTTTCATAAATAATTATTCATTCCACTACTAGTAAAAGGTCAGAGTTAACGCTTCGTTAATGTTTTAAAATCCTGCTCTATATGAAGAGGAGGGAGTAGCAGGAACACTATTCATTGCTTACGCCACTTTCATTGCTGTCATAATCATCAGAAAAGCTCTCATAACCGTTTCCGTTCTTTCCATTTCCATTGGACCCATATTCGGTGCTTCCATTTCCATTAGATCCATATTCGTTGCTTCCATTTCCATTAGATCCATATTCGTTGCTTCCATTTCCATTGGATCCGTATTCGTTGCTTCCACTTCTACCATTACTACTGGCACCATTACCGCCGTATCTGTTCCTTCCATTTCCATTGAATCCATAACTATTGCTTCCATTCCTGCCATTGCCATTCGTGATATTTTCTTTTCTTCCATTACCATTGGATCCATTGCCGTTATTATAATCATTACCATTCCCATTACCAATTCCTTTGGCAATGCCGTTGGTGCTAGGACCATAACCATAGCCAGCACTGGGGACGACGCCAATCTGTTCGTTGACGGAGTAGAAGTTTTCAGCCTGAGAACAGTCCACGTTGAACCACCAGTCACACACCAGGTACTGTTGGTTGAAGATGGTACCGTTGGGGCACAGGAATGAGTCCTTCTGGCGTCTGAGGGCACGGTCCTGGCAAATGTGGAACACCTGGCAGCCGGCATCAGGGGCAGTGTCAGCGTAATAACCAGCCACTGCCTGGTCATCACAAGAGAAGCCAGTGTCTGGTGGAGAAGACAAGACTGGGTAGTCTTCACCGGGGACACCACCTCCTGGGATGTTGTCCTGCAGAGCAACCAGCTCCGGATCTAGTCCATAAGAACCTGTTGGGGGACCATACCTATTAGTTGGGGGAGCTCCATAACCATTGCTTGGAGCAACTGCGAACCCATTGCTTGACGATAAACCGTAACCGTTGTTTGTAGGGGCACCATTTCCATTACTTGGGGACGCTCCAAAGCCATTGCTTCCTGGAGTCGTGTACCCATTGCTTGGAGCTCCATTTGAGGCACCGAAACCTCCATTTGGTGCTCCGTAACTTGTGGGAGGACGCTGGTCAGCGATGGATACACCCAGCAAAGCTGTAGAAAATGTATATACAACTTTAATTATAATTGTTAAAGCTTGTAATAATTTTGCCATATTATCTCTGTCCTTCAAAATAAGTTTAAAACGAACATCATCCTACACCGAAAGTTTAGTTATATTCACCGATGAAGAAGAAAACCTTCATGGCTATCTATCTACCAGCAGAAAGATGAACTAGAAAGAGAAATACTGATCATAAGACATATAGAAAGGAAGTGCTGAAGTTCGACCCTGAAGGACAAGTGTTTCCTGATGCGGGTCTTAGTCATATGATGACCTGCCGTTGGAGCTTTTGATGAATGATGAGACTGTGGAGGGCCTTTATACCCAGGCCCTAAGCAGGCTCCTCCCACCCACCTTGCTCTTCCCTACGTCACCGGCCCGTCTCCATCTCACTCTTTCGCAAGTTGTGTTCTTGAAGGTCACTTTGAATTTAACTTACCTTTATATTTTAGCCTATTTCTCAATGTTAAAATCATATTAGCATTTCGTTATATATTGTATATATTTTAACACAAATGTGAAAAGTAAAAAGTATGCAGGCACATTCATGGAGAGAATATACAATTTTAAGAGCATAAAATATACAACATCGTGATAATTAGAATTGTCATTTTGGAATATGCTATCACAATATCCATCGTGCTGTTACGGTGGTCTTCTTTCAAGATGATACAGTAGTGGTTTTAATAAACTGATGGTTTTCCTCCGACACGATACACATGTGGTCTTCCACTTGTGTATCTAATAAGTTTTATAAAATAATCGCGTCTGTGAATAAGTTGTTGTCGAGTTTCTTTGCCATCTGGGGCTTCGGTCATTACATGATTATTATCAGATCATCAGATCTTGGTTTATTGTTAAATAGCATGGGCGACGAGTTGTTGGTTAATTAGGGTTACAGCTCACTTACAGACTGACCTGTTCACCACCAGTCTAGAATATTTTCCCCTAAAATGGGGAGTAAAGTAAACTCTTAGCATATATACACTTAGAGACACGCCTCATGGTGTATATATTCGTGTAACAAATTTCTCCCATATAGCCTCCAGACGCTGGTTTATCTTACCGAGGTTACATTAGTAGGTTAATAAAAGCAAGTGGAGGTCCCAGGCAATACATAAGCTCTTATAAGCTCATGCTTTTAATTACTCAAAATGATGGATAATAAAATTATACAAATCAATTTAAAATCATGATTTTGTATACAATACGGAATCATTGGGAGCCTCGTGCCTGTGGGCAGTCGGGTTACTGACCCTTTCCTTTGTTAACCCTCATTGTTAGTGGCGTGGTTAGAGCAGTTTGCATGCCCCAAAAAATTAGCAAAAAAAGCAGTGGCCCAGCAACATGGCCGGGTACATACACTCACATCTCCCTTGTCAGAATTCAGAGGTTCGAACCTACAGTGTTAACACATTGTGGTGGACAGGAAGAGAGAAGAAAAGTTAAGTGGCCTGATCACTTTGGGGGGGATTTTTTCCACTTTTTTTAAAAATTTGCTGTCAGTTATAGCCTATAACTTCAAACTAATTATGAATCTGAATTTCAGGAATGCTTTGTTTATGTTGTGATTAAGATATTTGTAATTACAGTAAATTATTCAGGGTTGCAACAGATTAATATGGGTTGTAATAAATTGTAATGAAAGCTGAATCTTTGTAATAATGGCAGACTGTTAATAATTACGTCAGCAGTATTTTATGTACAAACTTCTGAATGGGGAAACTTCTAGGTCTTTGCAAATAATAAAATCTTAACTTCAACTCTCTCATTTACCACATTTTGACACAACTTTGCAATGGACTACAAACTGCCTCTCACGTGATACTCTTCGATGAATCGGTCTTTTGCAACAGATGTCCACATAACCTGCCTTCAACAGAGCTGTGGTCCTTCGCTAAAGAACCTGCCTTCAACAGAGCTGTGGTCCCTCGCTAAAGAACCTGCCTTCAACAGAGCTGTGGTCCCTCGCTAAAGAACCTGCCTTCAACAGAGTTGTGGCCCCTCGCTAAAGAACCTTCCTTCAACAGAGCTGTGGTCCCTCGCTAAAGAACCTGCCTTCAACAGAGTTGTGGCCCTCGCTAAAGACCTTCCTTCAACAGAGCTAGTGTCCCTCCTAAGAACCTGCCTTCAACAGAGCTGTGGTCCCTCGCTAAAGAACCTTCCTTCAACAGAGCTGTGGTCCCTCGCTAAAGAACCTGCTTTTCCAAACATGAGGGTCGCCTTCACAACCAATACTGTTCGTTGATTTCTAACCAATATAAGCTTCCTTTAGATTGAAATATTTGTTATCGCAGGTTAAATTAAGTCAAGTTAAATTACTCTCAATTACCCTAGCATATTTTTTATGCATTGTTAACTGCCAGTAACAAGATAACAGGGACATATCGTAGTTTCTAAGTTTACTTTAATCGTGTTTTAGGAATTCAAGTAAAATTGGTGTGAACAGGTGGCATACAGCTTTAATGACTCTTTGAATAGTTGATAGGCTTTGAGCCCAGTTAACCAACCAGCCTTAGACTCGTTGTTTAAGTTAGACAATGGCATTCTTATCAGAAAAGGGACCTTTTTTTTTGCTAGGACCAGGACGTGATAAACAGGAAGGCCGACGGGTTATTATTAAGCATATTGTGATTTAATATTCCTGGAAGGTTGGCCTTCTTTCAGCTCGAGGAGTGACTAGAGATCAACGGGGAACCTGTTCTTGGTTCTCACCGGTTCTCATATGTCATTGTGGTATCATTCCTACTGCAACTATTTCGGGAATGCTTAACTCGGATCATCTACTCTATATGTTCTCCAATGCATTCATGTCTATTCTGCAGCATGAAGACTAGAACTACGTTAAATAATTCAAAGGAGGCGTTACTAATGACGAATAAAGCTGTAGAATAACCTCTGGCTTTTTGTTTTTAAACTTCTTGATAAATATGTTAGATTAGGCACTGTTATTTTGGCGTCAGGTTTCTCCTTACTATGACTTCAAAGTGTACTTCACCTTCTGTATGTTAATATTAAGCGCCTCACAAGAACTGTTCCTAAAACTTACCATATACTTGATATTTCAGTTCCTTGAACTTCTTACTATGAGACAGTGAAAAACAGGATGTCAGATGCTTTGCAACGTCTACATTTCTCTGTATATATATATATATATATATATATATATATATATATATATATATATATATATATATATATATATATATATATATGTATATAGATACATATTTATATTTCTGGATTATGAATTTTATTATTATAAATCACTCGTGTGACATTTCACGAAGGATGTAAGCAACATACATGCACTCAGCCTTCAAGAATATTTATTTTACAATATACAAACATTCATTCCATAATAATTTCAAACTGTCTGTGAGTATAAATATTTACCTAAGTCGAATTATTGGACAGTCACGTTGCGGAAGACAAGAAGCAAAGTTGAACATTTTAAAATGGAGTTCCATAGGAATCTGAGGGAGCAACTGGAGCACTATACCCATTACTGGCACCATTACCAGCGCCATTCCCATTTCTTCCATTTCCATTGGATCCATAACCATTGTTTCCATTTCTACCATTACCATTGGAACCATTTCCAGCTCCGTTTCCATTTCTTCCAGCTCCATTGGATCCGTATCCATTGTTTCCTGTCCTGCCATTACCATTGGCGCCATTTCCGTTGGATCCATTTCCATTTGCATAACCATTACCATTGGCAATACCATTAGCAATGGGACCATAACCATAGCCAGCACTGGGGACGACACCAATCTGTTCGTTGACGGAGTAGAAGTTCTCAGCCTGAGAACAGTCTACGTTGAACCACCAGTCACACACCAGGTACTGCTGGTTGAAGATGGTACCGTTGGGGCACAGGAATGAGTCCTTCTGGCGTCTGAGGGCACGGTCCTGGCAAATGTGGAACACCTGGCAGCTGGCATCAGGAGCGGTGTCAGCGTAATAACCAGGCACTGCCTGGTCATCACAAGAGAAGCCAGTGTCTGGTGGAGAAGACAAGACTGGGTAGTCCTCACCGGGAACGCCTCCTCCAGGGATGTTCTCCTGCAGAGCAACCAGCTCCGGATCTAGTCCATAAGAACCTGTTGGGGGACCATACCTGTTACTTGGGGGAGCTCCATATCCATTACTTGGAGCACCTGCAAACCCATTGCCTGAGGAGATTCCAAATCCATTTCCGTTACTTGGAGAAGCTCCTAAGCCATTGCTTCCTGGAGGCGTATATCCATTGCTTGGGGCTCCATTTGACGCACCAAACCCATTACCGAAACCTCCATTAGGTGCTCCGTAACTTGTGGGAGGACGTTTATCAGCGGTGGATAAACCCAGCAGAACTGTAAAATATGTGAAAGTCAGTTAAAACACTTTAAGTTGGTAACATTCATGCAAAAATATCTCGTGAGCGTTCTAAATATGTTACTGTGAAGGATCATCTCCACACTGAAAGATAAGCGATATTTACCAATGAACAGGAGAGCCTTCATGGTTGCCGTCCAGCAAATGGATGACCTGGAAAAGAAGAATATAGATCCTGAGTCAGCTGGAAGGAGAGACTGGCGTCTGATGCTGGAGGATGAGTTTGTAGAGCTTTTATACCCCGAATTCTCACCAAACTCCTCCCTCTCGCCTTGGATCTTCTTTCCCTACCTTGCTCGCCCATCGTCATCTCTCTTCCTCGCCGTCATGTATTGGAAGGTCACTGGATGTAGGAGGACATTTGTCAGCTTTACGTATATTTTTTTTACCAATTAGTTAAATAATTTTTTTTTCTACAACGGAGGTGTAAAGGCAAGGCCTGCACTATATATGGGTGTTTTAGTCGGAAGGTGATAACAGCATACTTACTTCTGGCAACTCAGCAATTGAGTGCACGATGCTAAATATGTTTCCTTTCCTTGGGTATTTCTTCCTTGTGTGTAACGGCCGAATTATAAATAAATAAATTATATATATATATATATATAATATATATATATATATATATATATAATATATATATATATATATATATATATATATATATTATATATATATATATATAAATATATATATATATATATTATATATGTATATATTATATATTATATATATATATATTATATATATTTATATATATATAATATATATATATATAATAACTCCTTAAATGTGCTTATTTAAGTTCGAGCTATAATAATGAGTTATACATCGATTCGGGCCACAAACGTTCCAAAGTTACATTCTGCTTTTTTACTATGTGCTTATTTGTCCTCTTATTGAGGAATATAGAAATAGTTTAATTACCTATGTGACATGTAAAGATATCTTATTATATTAAGCAAATTTCCCAAATTTGCTGGTAACAGATAAATGAATTGTGCATATAAATCCAGATGTACTCCGGTTAACCCCCCTCGAGCCTAGTTCTTAGGTCTTTTGTGTATCCATATGCTCTAAATTTTTCAAGGTAATTTCTTTGGTTAATTTATCAACTTTATCATATAGGAATAATCCAGTGTGTGATATAGTCCAGAAGAACTGTACATTAAAAAAAAAAAACATACCACGGGTGGGGTTTGAACCCGCGGTCAAAGAGTCTCAAAACTCCAGCTAGCTGGCCCAGTGGCTAACGCGACGGTTCAAACCCCACCCGTGGTATGGTTTGTTTGCAATCGTGTCATTACGATTTCGTAAGTCAACTGTACATTAATTCCATTTTTGTCTCAGACTTTCTTAGTGTATATACCTGGCTTCTTTAATGAACATGCCATTAAGAGTCGTTGTGTGAAACATGTGCCTTCAGTGATGATAATTTGCAATGATCAATCATTCTCAGTCTCATATACTGACTTTAATGTCATTATACAATGCCGACAAATTGATGAATAAGACACAAGTGTTGCATGTGTCTTATTCGTCAACATGTCGGCACTGTGAACCATTAATGTGATGATACTTGTCTGAGACAACAATATCGTTTAATCTAGGTTCAGAGGATGTCTCCTACAACCTTCCTGCTAATCTCTGGTCTTGCTCTAGACCGTGATGTACTTCCACTAGTAAGTCCCGTCCACCTGTGACGATATCTTTAATCGCTGCACCTTCTTTTCTGGATCCAGTTTATAAGTTTTTTTCTTCATGCTTCTGCTTCACTTTTATTAAAGCTTCTGGATTGCCACCTAATAATTAAAATCAAATTAAGCACTACATCCTGAAGGTACACACAACGCTGCTCTGAACACCTATCAAAGCTGAGGGACTTATTACCTCTCTGTAGTAAATTCACAAATTCATTGGATGGCGACACGTCAACTTGTCATAATCTTCCTGAAGTTCGCTATTATCTTCCTCCGAATATATTTGTGTACATATTTTTGTGACGTCAGTGAATTTAAGCATGTCGCTTTTTATTTCGTCGTCAAGCTCATTAATATAGATTATGAACAACAAGGGAAGCAAGACTAATCCCTGTGGAACGCTACTCGTAACTGGTCTCCATTCTGAGTACACACTGTTTAGGCAAAAATCTCTACTGCCTATTAGACATACCTTCGTCCATGAGAAAAGCTCTTTCATTTTCATCTGCTACCATTTTAGCAACCTTTTGTGTGAGATTCTATTAGAAATCTTGCTGAAAACCAAATACATAGTGTACATCATGGTCTAGATCATGATCTACCGCCTCAAATTTCTAACTGAAGACAATAAATCTGTTCTGAGAGAACGACCCATTTTGACTCGTTAAACAGACTATGCTCATCAAAGCGACTTCTTATTTCCTCTGCTATTACTGATTCTAATAATTTCACTATGTTTGAGGTCAAGCTAATTGATCTGCAGATCAATGGTAGAGACTTAATTCCCGTTTGTATAGTAGATAGGCAATATATTTTTATCCATTACGTCTCCGGCACGTAACCCACTTGCAGTAATGTAATGAGACGACCAGTTAGCGGCTCACTAAGTTTTGTCTTGCATTCTTTAAGAACCTTGAAAAACAGCTTGTCGGAGCCTGGGGAGTTGATTTGCTTTAATCTATCTGCTAGTCTGATCATTATTATAATTTTATGCAATACAACAGGTTGGTGAATAAGACACAGGGGCAACATTTTGGTATCTTTATTTCCGAAACCATTCGCTTACACAACAGGCTTCTTCAGCCGAATACAGAGGTGACTAAATTTAGTGCAAGTGGTGTTGTTGAAGCTAATACTTTGGATAACATTAAAAATAGGTCATATAAATACATGAGTGATTGTTTACCTAATACTTACCCTGCATGGATCAACTGCAGTGTTTCTTATTCGTATGTTCTTAATATCGAGCGACCTTCTAAAATGCTGAATATGAGCGAGAGTGAGAGGGCGACTGGTGAGCAACGTAGACAAGACCAAGGTAGGTGGGAGGAGCTTAGTGGATGACCAGGTATAAAAACACCACAAACCCATCATCCAGCATCTTTCTTCAAAACTTCTCCTCTAGCTGACTTAAGATCAATACTTCTCTTTCTAGTTCACTTTCCTGCTGGCTGACAACCATGAAGGTTTTATTTTTTATTGGTAAATACAGCTTAACTTTCAGTGTAGAAATTGTATGATATAAATTTATATTGAGGGTTATATATGATTTCTGAAGAATATTATCATCTCAAACCGTAATAACTAATATGCTTATTTTTCTATTACAGTTCTGTTGGGTGTAACCGCTGCTGACAAACGTCCACCCACAAGTTACGGAGCACCAAATGGAGGTTTCGGTAATGGGTTTGGTGCCTCAAATGGAGACCCAAGCAACGGTTACACAGCTCCAAGAAGCAATGGCTTTGGGGTATCTCCTAGTAATGGAAATGGGGCCCCTACAAGTAATGGATTTGGACTCTCAGGCAATGGGTTTGCAGGTGCTGCAAGTAATGGATATGGAGCTCCCCCAAGTAATGGATATGGAGCTCCCCCAAGTAACAGGTATGGTCCCCCAACAGGTTCTTATGGACTAGATCCGGAGCTGGTTGCTCTGCAGGAAAACATCCCAGGAGGTGGTGTTCCCGGTGAAGACTACCCAGTCTTGTCTTCTCCACCAGACACTGGCTTCTCTTGTGATGACCAGGCAGTGCCTGGTTATTACGCTGACACTGATCCTGATGCCAGCTGCCAGGTGTTCCACATTTGCCAGGATCGTGCCCTCAGACGTCAGAAGGACTCATTCCTGTGCCCCAACGGCACCATCTTCAACCAGCAGTACCTGGTGTGTGACTGGTGGTTCAACGTAGACTGTTCTCAGGCTGAGAACTTCTACTCCGTCAACGAACAGATTGGTGTCGTCCCCAGTGCTGGTTATGGTTATGGTCCCGTTGCTAATGGTATTGCCAATGGTATTGGCAATGGTAATGGTTATACAAATGGCAATGGAGCCAGCAGAAATGGAAATGGCAGGAATGGAAACAATGGTTATGGATTCGCTGGAAATGGAAGGAATGGGAATGGAGCTGGTAATGGTTCCAACGGTAATGGCAGAAATGGAAACAATGGGTATGGACCCAATGGAAATGGAAGGAATGGGAATGGTGCTGGTAATGGTGGCAATGGCAATGGTGCCAATAACGGGTATAGTGCTCCAGTTGCTCCCTCAGATTCTTATGGAACTCCATTTTAAAATGTTTGTTTTGCCTCTCGTCTTCTGCAATGTGACTGTCCAATAATTCGACTATCCAATAATAATGTAAATATTTATACTTAAAGATAGTATCAAATTATTATGGAGCGAATGTATGTCTATTATATAATAAATATTCTTGAATGATGAGTACACATATTTTGTTTACAACCTCTATGAAAAGTCACACCAGTGTTCCATAACTGGAAATAAAAACTGAAGGGTTTGTGTCTTTCATCGTTTATATACTTAGAAGCTGTTTTAAATTCTATCTTAGAAAAATCATGGTTTTCATGATCCTCTTGTAGTCGATAGGCTTTTATATACCTTAATAAATTTTTCTTTTATTTAAAAATTTCTTAATAATTAATTAATGTTTATAGTATCTGATAATACTATATTAAGTGTTAAAGCGGGAAGACAAGTAGGGCAAGGGAAGGCTTCGTCAGATGACCAAGATTGAGGTTCATCAAATAACTGAAACCCGCGTCAGGAAACACTTGTCATGTTTCTGACGAGTCTTACCTAATAATAGTGAGTCATTAGCTTATAACATCTCAGGCATTAAAAAGTCTGCTAAGAAGCTCCCTGTGAGAGAACAAAGTCATTAAATATGAAGAATAGGTTAAACCGGACTGCTAGCAAGTTTAGCAATATTTTGGTAAGATGTAGCTTGTAGCACTCAACTGTTATTCCCAGGTAGCTTGTAGCACTCAGCCTTCCTTCCCACGTAGCTTGTAGCACTCAGCTCTCCCTCCCAGGTGGCTTGTAGCGCTCAACTCTCCTCACAGATAGCTCGCAACACTCAATCTTCCCTTACAGGTAGCTTCTAGCATTCAACCTTCCCTCACATGTAGCTTATAGCACTCAACTCTCACTCATAGGCAACTTGTAGCACTCAACTATCCACCCCAGGCAGCTTGTAGCATTCAACTCTCCTTCCCTGGTAGCTAGTAGCACTCAACCTTCCCTCCAAGGTAGCTTGTACCACTCAACCTTCCCTCCCAGGTAGCTAGTAGCACTCAACCTTCCCTCCCAGGCACCTTGTAAAACTCAACCTTCCCTCCCAGGTAGCTTGTAGCACTCAACCGTCCCTCCCAGGTAGCTTGAAGCACTCAACCTTCCCTCCCAGGTAGCTTGTAGCACTCAACCTTCCCTCCCAGGTAGCTTGTAGCACTCAACCCTCCCTCCCAGGTGGCTTGTAGTACTCAACTCTCCCTCCTAGGCAGCTTGCAGCATTCAACTCTCCCTCCCAGGCAGCTTGTAGCATTCAACTCTCCTTTCCAGATAGCTTGTAACACTCAACCTTCCCTCCCAGGTAGCTTGTAGCACTCAACCTTCCCTCCCAGGTAGCTTGTAACACTCAACCTTCCCTCCCAGGTAGTTTGTAGCACTCAACCATCCCTCCCAGGTAGCTTGTAGCGCTCAACCTTCCTTTCCAGGTAGTTTGTACCACTCAACCTTCCCTCCCACGTAGCTTGTAGCACTCAACCTTCCCTCCCAGGTAGCTTGTAGCACTCAACCTTCCCTCCCAGGTAGCTTGTACCACTCAGTCTTTCCTCCCAGGTAACTTGTAGAACTCAACCTTCCCTCCCAGGTGGCTTGTAGCACTCAACTCTCCCTCATAGGCAGCTTGTAGCATTCAACTCTACTTCCCAGATAGCTTGTAGCACTCAATCTTCCATCCCAGGTAGCTTGTAGCACTCAACCTTCCCTCCCAGGTAGCTTGTACCATTCAACTTTTCCTCCCAGGTGGCTTGTAGCACTCAATCTTCCATCCCAGGTAGCTTAGCACTCAACCTTCCCTCCCAGGTAGCTTGTATCACTCAACCTTCACTCCCAGGTAGCTTGTACCACTCAACCTTCCCTTCCAGATAGCCTGTAGCACTCAACCATCCCTCCCAGGAAGCTTGTAGCACTCAACCATCCCCCCAGATAGCTTGTAGCACTCAACCTTCCATCCCAGGTAGCTTGTTCCACTCAACCTTCCCTCCCAGGTAGTTTGTAGCACTTAACCTTCTCTCCCAGGTAGCTTGTAGCACTCAACCTTCCCTCCAGGTAGCTTGTAGCACTCAACCTTCCATCCCAGGTAGCTTGTTCACTCAACCCTTCCCTCCCAGGTAGTTTGTAGCACTTAACCTTCCCTCCCAGGTAGCTTGTACCACTCAACCTTCCCTCCCAGGTAGCTTGTAGCACTCAACCTTCCTCCCAGGTAGCTTGTAGCACTCAACCTTCCCTCCCAGGTAGCTTGTAGCACTCAACCTTCCCTCCCAGGTAGCTTGTAGCACTCAACCTTCCCTTCCAGGTAGCTTGTAGCACTCAACCTTCCCTCCCAGGTAGCTTGTAGCACTCAACCTTTCCTCCTAGGTAGCTTGTAGCACTCAACCTTCCCTCCCAGGTAGCTTGTAGCACTCAACCTTCCCTTCCAGGTAGCTTGTAGCACTCAACCCTCCCTCCCAGGTAGCTTGTAGCACTCAACCTTCCCTCCCAGGTAGCTTGTAGCATTCAACCTTCCCTTTTAGGTAGCTTGTACACTCAACCTTCCCTCCCAGGTAGCTTGTAGGGACTCAACCTTCCCTCCCAGGTAGCTTGTAGCACTCAACCTTCCCTCCCAGGTAGCCTGTAGCACTCAACCTTCCCTCCCAGGCAGCTTGTACCACTCAACCTTCCCTCCCAGGTAGCTTGTAGCATTCAACCTTCCCTCCCAGGTAGCTTGTAGCACTCAACCTTCCCTCCCAGGTAGCTTGTAGCACCCAACCTTCCCTCCCAGGTAGCTTGTAGCACTCAACCTTCCCTCCCAGGTAGCTTGTAGCACCCATCCTTCCCTCCCAGGTAGCTTGTAGCACTCAACCTTCCCTCCCAGGTAGCTTGTAGCATTCAACCTTCCCTCCCAGGTAGCTTGTAGCACTCAACCTTCCCTCCCAGGTAGCTTGTAGCACCCAACCTTCCCTCCCAGGTAGCTTGTAGCACTCAACCTTCCCTCCCAGGTAGCTGGTAGCATTCAACCTTCCCTCCCAGGTAGCTTGTAGCGCTCAACCTTCCCTCCCAGGTAGCTTGTACCACTCAACCTTCCCTCCCAGGTAGCTTGTACCGCTCAACCTTCCCTCCCAGGTAGCTTGTTGCACTCAACCTTCCCTCCCAGGTAGCTTGTAGCACTCAATCTTCCCTCCCAGGTAAATAACAAAAAGGCACAATACCGTGACTGGAACGATACACAAATAACCCGCACATAAAAGAGAGAAGCTTACGACGACGTTTCGGTCCGACTTGGACCATTGACAAAGTCACATTGTGACTTTGTCAATGGTCCAAGTCGGACCGAAACGTCGACGTAAGCTTCTCTCTTTTATTGCGGGTTATTTGTGTATGTTTCCCTCCCAGGTAGCCTGTAGCACTCAACCTTCCATCCCAGGTAGCTTGTAGCACTCAACCTTCCATCCCAGGTAGCCTGTAGCACTCAACCTTCCATCCCAGGTAGCTTGTAGCACTCAACCTTCCATCCCAGGTAGCTTGTAGCACTCAACCTTCCCTCCCAGATAACTTGTAACACTCAACCTTCCCTCCCAGGTAGCCTGTACCACTCGACCTTCCCTTCCAGGCAGCTTGTACCATTTAGCATCACATATTAGGAAACCCCTGAAACTTTTAAGAATAAATAAAGAAACACAACGCAGTTTAAAAACATTTTTCTTTGCCTAGGCCTGTGTAATGAGGTGTGCCTAAGCCTGTGTAATGAAGTGTGCCTAGGCCTGTGTAATGAGGTGTTCCTGTTCTTTCTAGCTTTCTTATGCTTGTGCTTGCACGCTAATGATTGCTGTTTAGCTGTCTGTCTTATTCTTCTCCTCCTCCTCCCTCCTCCTCTCTGCTCCACTGCAGGTAAACGCAGTACATGGGAAACACGGATCCCAGGACACACCCAGCTATCCATATCACTGCTATACATTGTGATGCACTAACTGTAGTCCTCTAAGTCAACGAAGCACCTCTGATTCAAACTACGTACCTCCCAATTCTAATCTAGTTACCTCTCGCTCAAGTTAAGCATAACTAATTCAGACTATGTAGCCACAGCGCTACAAGGAAAAACTGAGTGAATCGGTGTCTTGATGTACTGAAAAAAATAAGTGTACATATTTGATAGGAAACGTGAAAACATAGCTTGATTTCTTCTTAAATTACTACTGCAGTCAGGTCCAATTAGTACTAAATCTACGATAATGCCGAGTGTTAACTGCAGATCGTCTTGTGGTAGCTCTTGAGAAGACGATAGCCAGCCTATGCACTGTACTGAGTCGTTCGTTATATGTGTTATGTTCTTGGTTAGACAACTTTTGTCGTTTAACTTAGATCAGCACATTTACTTACCAATGTGTAGTTTAACTAACTGATGTTGTAGCAGCCAGGCTCAGGCTGCAGACAAACACATGTTGATCAAGCTAAATGGAAAGTATGTAGTCAGCCTTACGGTCACTTTATTTTTTTTTTTTTTTAATATTTGGCTTTCTTTGTGCTTTTACGTAACATTGTGTTCTTTTTTTTTTTTATCATTTTGTTTAAACTTTTACAAACTGATCTTAGGTTAGTGTTGACATTGTCATTATGTCGAATGTTAAATTTTCTCTCAGTCACATTATAGTGAATATTACCCTTGAGTTTTTAAGTATCTTTTTTTATTATTATTGATTATGTCGCTGGTAATTATTCCAAATTATTTGATGTTTTCTCTACGATTAATTTTTACAGCACAAATTTAATAAAATTTTAGTTTGTTTGTCAATTCCCTAAAGGGAATTAACAAGATCACAAAAAAATATAAATACAAATATCAAGTATACTATAATTTCTAAATAAGACAAAAGTAAATTCTCAGTACTAGTTTACTGACAAATATAAACCCTCATGTTCGACAAACATTTCTCACTTTTTAAACATATAGTGACTTACGGAGGTTTAAGTAAAATATTCATATTCAGCATTCAAGAATTTTTATTATACATTATTAAAACATTCATTCTATTGTCAGTTATTATCAACTCGTATAAATATTTACAAAAGGTTAAAGATAGCTCTTCATTCATTAAAGAGTCGAATCACTGTAAGAGAGACATTCAAGAGGCAGAAGACAAGAGGCAAAGGTCATGTTAAAATGGAGTGCCATAGGAATCGGAGGGAGAAGCTGGTGCGGTATATCCATTGCTGGCACCATTCCCATTACCACCATTACCATTGGCATAGATACCAGCACCATTTCCATTCCTTCCATTTCCATTGGATCCATACCCATTGTTTCCATTTCTTCCATTACCATTGGCACCATTACCACCTCCGTTTCCATTCTGTCCATTTACATTGGATCCATAACCATTTCCATTCCTACCATTACCGTTCCTGCCATTTCCATTTCCGTTTAATCCATTGCCATTATTGTAGCCAATACCATTCCCGTTAGCAATTCCACTGGCAATACCGTTAGCACTGGGACCATAACCATAGCCAGCACTGGGGACGACACCAATCTGTTCGTTGACAGAGTAGAAGTTTTCAGCCTGAGAACAGTCCACGTTGAACCACCAGTCACACACAAGGTACTGCTGGTTGAAAATGGTACCGTTGGGGCACAGGAATGAGTCCTTCTGGCGTCTAAGGCACGGTCCTGGCAAATGTGGAACACCTGGCAGCTAGCATCAGGGGCAGTGTCAGCGTAATAACCAGCCACTGCCTGGTCATCACAAGAGAAGCCAGTGTCTGGTGGAGAAGACAGGACTGGGTAGTCTTCACCGGGGACGCCGCCTCCTGGGATGTTCTCCTGCAGAGCAACCAGCTCCGGATCTAGTCCATAAGAACCTGTTGGGGGACCATACTGTTACTTGGGGGAGCTCCATATCCATTGCTTGGAGCACCTGCGAACCCATTGCCTGAGAGTCCAAATCCATTGCTTGTAGGGGCTCCATTTCCATTACTAGGAGATCCTCCAAAACCATTGCTTCCTGGAGCTGTGTAACCATTGCTTGGGCCTCCATTTGAGGCACCAAACCCATTACCGAAACCTCCATTTGGTGCTCCGTAACTTGTGGGTGGACGTTTGTCAGCGGTTGTTACACCCATCAGAACTGTAGAAGAAAAATAAGCATATTAGTTATTACGGTCTGAAATGATATTCTTCAGAAATTATCTATAACCCTCAATATATATTTATATCATACAATTTCTACACTGAAAGTTAAGCTGTATTTACCAATGAAAAGTAAAACCTTCATGGTAGTCAGCCAGCAGGAAAGTGAACTACAAAGAGAAGTATTAATCTTAAGTTCACTAAAGGAGAAGTTCTGAAGAATGATGCTGGATGATTGGTTTGTGGTGTTTTTATACCTGGGCATCCACTAAGCTCCTCCCACCTACCTTGGTCTTCTCTACGTCGCCACCAAATCGACCTCTCACTCTCGCTCACATTCATCATTTTCGAAGGTCGCTTGATGTTAAGAACATACGAATAAGAAGAAGTGGAGCAGGACGGGCCGTCCTGCTCCACTTCTGGTTAGTGTTACTTTGGAAATGGTCCAAGTCGGACCGAAACGTCGTCGTAACCTTCTCTCTTTTATGTGCGGGTTATCTGTGTATCGTTCCAGTCACGGTATTGTGGCTTTTTTTGTTATTTATAGCAGGCAATGTTTTCTTCATGTTAGCTACTGTTATCTGCTAGACAAAATCATAAATCCCTACTAGACGTCTAAAGGCGTGATTTTCAGGGAGCCCAGGAGATAGGGGATGGAGGTTAATTACTGTAGCCTTAAAATTAACTTCATCTGCCACTAATGGTTCGTTTGATGAGTATGCATAGTTTAGACAATCGTAAAACTGCCGCAAAACTACATTTGTTCAGCTATTATATGCAGAAAATTGCATGCTTATATCTGTTATAGTCGTCTTATTAACCAAAATTGAAATCTGAAACGGATTTTGTTGATCATTACCAGAAAAAAATATTCATTCATTTACTGAATTGACTCTTTCAGGTGTGTGCTGACTAACAATGGTGTCTCTATTAATTTTTTAACTACGAACACTGGTAAAACTCTTTATTCTCTTTTCGGCACTCCAGCCTAGATAGTTGATAGTGTATCAAGGAAAACAGATTATTTTTTAACTTCCTTTTAAGTAAATAAGTCTAATGAGTTAGGAAATACACTTTCTTAAGTGTTCTCGTATCTCTGTCTTCAAATTTATATTAGAAAAATTTTTAAAACATATAATACTGTTAACAAATTCTTAAAAGTCGACGACCGTATTTCAGTAAACCTTGATTCCTCTGTTGCATATAAATATGAGTATGTGTGAGTGCTATATACCCTCATGTAAAGGTGAGACGAAGAGGCATTTAATAACTCGAATAAATGACAAACAGAGACTATTAAGGTGAACAAAACTTCAGATTACTAAATAACCATTCCATTCCATGAAGGAACACTCCCACACTGTAGAACATCTGAGGCTTCATGTGTTAACACAGACGGCGCCTACCTCATTATCCACACTTCTGATGTACCTCCACAAACTTGGTATAAGAATGAAAATTCAATACAGTTTTTATGCTTCTTTATAAGTTCTGATGCTACTAGGTATTATCATCTTTTTTTAATGTTTGATTTTCTGTTTGTTTTTAAGTAAGATTGGGTTCTTGCTTTTTTTATTATCTTAATCTTAGTTATTATTGCCATTGTCATTTAGTCGCATGTCCAATATTTTTCTTAGTCACATTAAAACGAATATTTTCAACTGCGCTTTTAACTACCGATTTTTTGTATAAATTGTCATTTTTAATTATTCAAGATTTTGGATGCCTTCTCTTTGATTAATTCAATCACCAGAAATTTAATATAACCTTTGTTAAACTTATATAATAGCTACCTAAAGAGGATTAGCAAGACCGCAATAAACATAGATACAAATATCAAGAATACTTTAATTTTAAAATGAAAGATAAAAGTGAACTGGCAGTATTTATTTACTGACAAATATGATCCTCATGTTTCACAAACTCTTCAGTGAAATATTTTATGGTATTTCTCACTTTAAAAACAAACAGTAATTTACGAAGGTTGTAGTAAAATATTTAAATTAAGCATTTAAGAATTTTATTATACAATATTAAAACATTCGTTCTATAGTCAATTATTATCAACTCGTATAAATATTTACAAAAGGTTAAAGATAGCTCTTCATTCATTAAAGAGTCGAATCACTGTAAGAGAGACATTCAAGAGGCAGAAGACAAGAGGCAAAGGTCATGTTAAAATGGAGTGCCATAGGAATTGGAGGGAGAAGCTGGTGCGGTATATCCATTGCTGGCACCATTCCCATTACCACCATTACCATTGGCAAAGATACCAGCACCATTTCCGTTCCTTCCATTTCCATTGGATCCATAACCATTGTTTCCATTTCTTCCATTACCATTGGCACCATTACCACCTCCGTTTCCATTCCGTCCATTTCCATTGGATCTATAACCATTGCTTCCATTCCTACCATTACCATTCCTGCCATTTCCGTTTAATCCATTTCCATTAGATCCATAACCATTGCTTCCATTCCCACCATTTCCATTTAATCCATTTCCATTAGATCCATAACCATTGTTTCCATTCCTACCATTACCATTCCTGCCATTTCCGTTTAATCCATTGCCATTAGTGTAGCCATTACCATTCCCGTTAACAATTCCATTGGCAATACCGTTAGCAATTGGACCATAACCATAGCCAGCACTGGGGACGACACCAATCTGTTCGTTGACAGAGTAGAAGTTTTCAGCCTGAGAACAGTCCACGTTGAACCACCAGTCACACACAAGGTACTGCTGGTTGAAAATGGTACCGTTGGGGCACAGGAATGAGTCCTTCTGGCGTCTGAGGGCACGGTCCTGGCAAATGTGGAACACCTGGCAGCTAGCATCAGGGGCAGTGTCAGCGTAATAACCAGCCACTGCCTGGTCATCACAAGAGAATCCAGTGTCTGGTGGAGAAGACAGGACTGGGTAGTCTTCACCGGGGACGCCGCCTCCTGGGATGTTCTCCTGCAGAGCAACCAGCTCCGGATCTAGTCCATAAGAACCTGTTGGGGGACCATACCTGTTACTTGGGGGAGCTCCATATCCATTGCTTGGAGCACCTGCGAACCCATTGCCTGAGAGTCCAAATCCATTGCTTGTAGGGGCTCCATTTCCATTACTAGGAGATCCTCCAAAACCATTGCTTCCTGGAGCTGTGTAACCATTGCTTGGGCCTCCATTTGAGGCACCAAACCCATTACCGAAACCTCCATTTGGTGCTCCGTTACTTGTGGGTGGACGTTTGTCAGCGGTTGTTACACCCATCAGAACTGTAGAAGAAAAATAAGCATATTAGTTATTACGGTCTGAAATGATATTCATCAGAAATTATCTATAACCCTCAATATAAATTTATATCATACAATTTCTACACTGAAAGTTAAGCTGTATTTACCAATGAAAAGTAAAACCTTCATGGTAGTCAGCCAGCAGGAAAGTGAACTACAAAGAGAAGTATTAATCTTAAGTTCACTAAAGGAGAAGTTCTGAAGAATGATGCTGGATGATTGGTTTGTGGTGTTTTTATACCTGGGCATCCACTAAGCTCCTCCCACCTACCTTGGTCTTCTCTACGTCGCCCACCAATCGACCTCTCACTCTCGCTCACATTCATCATTTTCGAAGGTCGCTCGATGTTAAGAACATACGAATAAGAAGAAGTGGAGCAGGACGGGCCGTCCTGCTCCACTTCTGGTTAGTGTTACTTTGGAAATGGTCCAAGTCGGACCGAAACGTCGTCGTAACCTTCTCTCTTTTATGTGCGGGTTATTTGTGTATCGTTCCAGTCACGGTATTGTGGCTTTTTTTGTTATTTATAGCAGGCAATGTTTTCTTCATGTTAGCTACTGTTATCTGCTAGACAAAATCATAAATCCCTACTAGACGTCTAAAGGCGTGATTTTCAGGGAGCCCAGGAGATAGGGGATGGATGGTTAATTACTGTAGCTTAAAATTAACTTCATCTGCCACTAATGGTTCGTTTGATGAGTATGCATAGTTTAGACAATCGTAAAACTGCCGCAAAACTACATTTGTTCAGCTATTATATGCAGAAAATTGCATGCTTATATCTGTTATAGTCGTCTTATTAACCAAAATTGAAATCTGAAACGGATTTTGTTGATCATTACCAGAAAAAAATATTCATTCATTTACTGAATTGACTCTTTCAGGTGTGTGCTGACTAACAATGGTGTCTCTATTAATTTTTTAACTACGAACACTGGTAAAACTCTTTATTCTCTTTTCGGCACTCCAGCCTAGATAGTTGATAGTGTATCAAGAAAAACAGATTATTTTTTAACTTCCTTTTAAGTAAATAAGTCTAATGAGTTTAGGAAATACACTTTCTTAAGTGTTTCGTATCTCTGTCTTCAATTTATATTAGAAAAATTTTTAAAACATATAATACTGTTAACAAATTCTTAAAAGTCGACGACCGTATTTCAGTAAACCTTGATTCCTCTGTTGCATATAAATATGAGTATGTGTGAGTGCTATATACCCTCATGTAAAGGTGAGACGAAGAGGCATTTAATAACTCGAATAAATGACAAACAGAGACTATTAAGGTGAACAAAACTTCAGATTACTAAATAACCATTCCATTCCATGAAGGAACACTCCCACACTGTAGAACATCTGAGGCTTCATGTGTTAACACAGACGGCGCCTACCTCATTATCCACACTTCTGATGTACCTCCACAAACTTGGTTATAGGAATGAAAATTCAATACAGTTTTTATGCTTCTTTATAAGTTCTGATGCTACTAGGTATTATCATCTTTTTTTAATGTTTGATTTTCTGTTTTGTTTTAAGTAAGATTGGGTTCTTGCCTTTTTTTATGGATCTAAATCTAGTTATTATTGCCATTGTCATTAGTCGATGTCCCAATATTTTTCTTAGTACATTAAACGAATATTTTTCAACTGCGCTTTTACTACTGATTTTTTGTCATTAAATTGTCATTTTTAATTATTCAAGATTTTGGATGCATCCTTCTCTTTGATTAATTCAATCACCAGAAATTTATATAACTCTGATGTTACACATTATTAATGCTACCTAAAAGAGATTAGAGAGCAAGCCAATAAACTTAGATACAAATATCAAGAATACTTTAATTTTAAAATGAAAGATAAAAGTGAACTGGCAGTATTTATTTACTGACAAATATGATCCTTATGTTTCACAAACTCTTCAGTGAAATATTTTATGGTATTTCTCACTTTAAAAACAACAGTAATTTACGAAGGTATGTAGTAAAATATTTAAATTAAGCATTTAAGAATTTTATTATACAATATTAAGACATTCGTTCTATAGTCAATTACTATCAACTCATATAAATATTTACAAAGGTTAAAGATAGCTCTTCATTCATTAAAGAGTCGAATCACTGTAAGAGAGGACATTCAAGAGGCAGAAGACAAGAGGCAAAGGTCATGTTAAAATGGAGTGCCATAGGAATTGGAGGGAGAAGCTGGTGCGGTATATCCATGCTGGCACCATTCCCATTACCACCATTACATTGGCAAGATACCAGCACCATTTCCATTCCTTCCATTCCATTGGATCCATACCATTGTTTCCATTTCTTCCATTACCATGGCACCTTACCACCTCCGTTTCCATTCGTCCATTTCCATTGGATCTATAACCATTGCTTCCATTCCTCCATTCCCATTCCTGCCATTTCCGTTTAATCCATTTCCATTAGATCCATACCATTGCTTCCATTCCACCATTTCGTTTAATCCATTTCCATTAGATCCATAACCATTTTTTCCCATTCCTACCATTCCATTCTTGCCATTTCCGTTTAATCCATTCCCATTAGTGTAGCATTACCATTCCGTTAACAATTCCATTGGCAATACCGTTAGCAATTGGACATACTAGCCTGCACTGGGACGACCCCAATCTGTTCATGACAGGTAGAAGTTTTCAGCTGAGAAAGTCCCGTTGAACCACCAGTCACACAAAAGGGTTTACTGCTGGTTGAAATGGTACCGTTGGGCACAGATGAGTCCTTCGCTTTCTGAGGGCACGGTCCTGGCAATGTGGAACACCTGGCAGCTAGCATCAGGGCAGTGTCAGCGTAATAACCAGCCACTCCCTGGTCTCACAAGAGAATCCAGTGTCTGGTGGAGAAGACAGGACTGGGTAGTCTTCACCGGGGACGCCGCCTCCTGGGATGTTCTCCTGCAGAGCCACCAGCTCCGGATCTAGTCCATAAGAACCTGTTGGGGGACCATACCTGTTACTTGGGGGAGCTCCATATCCATTGCTTGGAGCACCTGCAAACCCATTGCCTGAGGAGTGTTCAAATCCATTGCTTGTAGGGGCTCCATTTCCATTACCTGGAGATGCCCCAAAGCCATTGCTTCCTGGAGGTGTGTAACCATTGCTTGGGGCTCCATTTGAGGCACCAAACCCATTACCGAAACCTCCATTTGGTGCTCCGTAACTTGTGGGTGGACGTTTGTCAGCAGTAGTTACACCTAACAGAACTGTAGAAAATAAGCATATTAGTTATTATTGTTTAAGATGATAATATTCTTCCAAAACTTTATATAACCCTCAATATTTTTATGAAATAATTACTACACTGAAAGTTAAGCTGTATTCACCAATGAAAAGGAAAGCCTTCATGGTTGTCAGCCAGCAGGAAAGCGAACTAGAAGTGTTAATCTTAAGTCCGCTGAAGAATGATGCTGGAGGACGAATCTGTGGTGTTTTTATACCTGGGCATCCACTAAGCTCCTCCCACCTTCCTTGGCCTTCCCTGCGTCTCCTGCCAAACGCTCTCTCACTCTCTCTCACAATCTGCATTTTCGAAGGTCATTCGATGTAAAGCACAGACGAATAAGAAATTTGCAGTTGATGCAAGTCGGGTAGGTCCTAGACAAACACTCAATCAAAATATTAGCTTCAATAACGCCAATTGCTAGTTTGTTCTTCTCATTTTCACCTCAGTTGTGATACTGGAACATTTCTGTATCCCTTCTAAATCCGAATTCATTCGAAGTTAATTCTGGTTGTATATTTCAACAACATACTCATCCAATATACGATTCTCAAGAAAAGTATATTCAGAAATCCCAATCTATCATCACAGGCAAGTTACCATATGATTGTACATTAAATTAGCTTCATCATCCTTCTCTATATGTTATCCAACGCACATATACCCATTCTGTAGTATAGAGATCATAAATGAACAGAGTGATCTATATGAAGCCTTACAAATGATGACTAGATCTGTCGTATAACGTCGGAGTTCTCATACATATATTTCTTGGTATAAACCTGTTGTCCATAAGCCTTATTACGAACGCTTATGCACTGCTGTCTTAGCTTCATATTTCTACTAGCCAGGACTATGAATCCTTTTTCTTTTTCGGTATCATCAGCTCTATACGTTTTATTAGTTTATACATGCCACATTAGAGCTTGTAATAACCCGGCAAATTGGCAGGAAGCAAGAGTCATCTTCCCTTGTTCTTCTTGGCTTGAAAGGAATATTGTAGGCAGTGATTATACAATATCAGTGAGGGGTTGTTCAAATTAGATGCATTTTTAGTGGAGGCAACAGTACACAGTTTAAAATTGGGCTCTTAAATGAATGCATTAGATTGTCTTAAATGTAGTGTCACACAGAGGAATTAGGGCCTATTTTTCCATCATTTTCTGAAGGTTGAACCAGAATTTGGCTTAGAATTATGTGGGATGAATAACTGTGGCCGTCTTCCTTGTAATTACAGATGTCTCTCTCTTTAAATGAGTTTATTTTAATGAGCCCCGTTCCCTTTGCATAACTTATAGAAGTCTCCCCTTTAAAGGGTCCCATTTTCTCGTCCCTTTAAATTGACCCATTTTCTCGTCCCTTTAAATGGACCCGTTTTCTCGTCCCTTTAAATGGACCCTTGTGGATGGTTTCTCCATTATTGATTTCTATATCACTGGCGATATAATTATGTATGTAAAATTACTTATAACATAGCAGAGTCGAACCGAATTTTTAATATTGATAAGTTACTTTCGTTTAGGCTACTATTAAAATATCAATGCTTGTGGGATTTTTCTAATACTATAATATTCAGTCTTCAGACTATGGGCACTAGTATGCCTGGGGGCACTTCCTGTTCCCTTCTCTCTCTCTCTCTCTGTCTCTGTTTTTTTACACAGGGTTTGACAAGGTTGTCTCTCACTCCAGTGAGGATGTCCTTTGGGATCGTATTTGCTTGGGATGTATATATATATTATATATATTATAATATATATATATATATATATATATATATATATATATATATATAATATATATATATATATTATATATATTAATATGTATATACATATATAATATAGGGAAGTACCACCTCTATGGCTGGAATGGGGACCCTCATCCTCAGAGAAGACAATAAGCGTACCTCAGGGAAAACTAAAGGTTCTCCCCGGAGCTGTTTGAATATTTTCTTCTCCTACCACCCCCTATATTTTATATTCTATGTGAACATTTATTAATAAACAGAATACATTTACAGAAAAACATAAACATGAATACAATGGCACAATGTATCAAAGATCATGAATTTCCTCCAGCTCCTC